GTCGGAAGTATGGGACAACTGTTCTGCTTATAACGAAAATAACTTGAATTAATACAACTTGACGCTGCCAGAATTGTGACTGGCTTGACCAAATTTGCCTCGAGAGAAAATTTATATCTCGAAACCAACTGGCTACAACTAAAAGAGAGACGAAAAATTAAAAAACTTACGACAGTGCACAAAATAAATATCTAAAGGACTTGTTACCCCACAATAGATCAGCTGCTTCAAATTATAACCTACGTAATAAACAGAACATGACTGTACCTTTTGCCAGAACAAGTACATTTCAGAAATCATTTATAATAGACTCTTTAAAACAATGGAATTCACAAAATGAAAATATTAAAAATAGTATCTCTGTAGCTGAATTAAAAACTAAAAATTATCCAATTGTTATTAAATCTCCAAATTATTTCAATTATGGAAAGCGTCAAATTAATATTATCCACACAAGACTTAGACATAGATGTAGCAATCTAAATGATAATTTATTTAGGGTTAATTTGTCAGACACTTTTTCTTGCCTTTGTGGTTCCCCATGCGAAAATGCTTTTCACTATTTTCTTGAATGTAAAAAATATTCTTTGTTAAGACAATCTTTGTTTATCAGCTTTAGGAATATAGGGACTCAGCCAAATTTAGAAACAATTCTTTGTGGTAACAAAAATCTATCTGAAGAACAAAATAACTTAATTCTTAAATATGTCCATAAATTTATTGTAGAAACAAACAGATTTTAAATTGTATCCTAATACAACAAGAAATATAACAAGAATTATATTTCACGAGCTACTTTCAAATTATCTGGATTTTATAAGTGATTGGTACATATAATACATGGTTGTTTAAACACTCTTATTTTGATGTAAAACAATATCATTCTCTGTAACTATCACAGCTTAGTTACATTCTAGATTTCCCGCCCTTCACATAAATATAAAATGTCTATTACATGTAGTTTTTTAACTACTGTGTTATTTAAAAAATATATCATGTACCATTGTATACCAAAAATGTAAATTCATCATATGTATATATGTAGATGTATGTGTGAGTGTATGTAGTATATGTGTTTGTGTTTAATACTGTATATATATGAATATGTGTGTGTTATTATATTTTCTTATTACTTGTAATTCCTATGCACTGTACATTTAATCTGCACCACAGAATTCACATACCACAATGTAATGAAATGTATATAGGAGAAGGCCTCCTAAGTGTGTCACTTGTGCCTAATCCATTTGGTTTTCTGAAATAAAATATGTTTAAATCAACACCGCCGCTGGTAGTTTAATTTGTGAAAGTTAGCAGGACATTCAGCTGTCGGGGTTTTGGGTCAGTGGGTGAATGACGGTTTGTGATTGATTGTTACCAGATGGCGCCAGCTGGGGTAGGAGACGACACACTTTCCAACTATGCTAAATATGAGTAGCCTGGTTATTCTCGAACTCTAGCTGGGCTAACAGATGACTCACCAGTCTAAGATGTATTGGAAAAACATAATTAATTCTCAACCTTATCTAATGCTAATTCAACCAGAGACACAGAGACACTTAGTTGTTGATAGAGGCTACTTGTTATAATATGTTGTTGATTAAAATATGTATGTATCTCTGGCTGTCTTGTCATCCCTTCATTCAGTAAAGTGGACTGTTCCAACTACCCACATTACCTAATTATAAATCTCATCCAGGCATGGCATACCCACATCACCTAATTGTATTTTGGTACCTTGTGGGGAAAAATTAGGCGATCTGGGAGGACGCCGTTATATCATCTAACATGGCCAACTCTGCTCTTAAGTAAACAAGAACCTAATCAGTGAGGGGTCCTTTATCATCCATATTTGACTGCTTATAAAAATCTTATATCTCTCCTCACAGCTGGTTATTATATATTTTTGCTGCTGAATATTCGAAACAGAGTGATTGAGTTGGTACTACGCATATAACGGTTCCATTTTAAATGACTGCAGCGCTCCATTATGAAAACAAATTGTTTTAACGCCGCTCTCAGCAGCATTCCAGTGATATATGACGGCGGTCTGTTGTATAAGAAATAAATGCAAATTAAATCGTGAATGTTTCAGCTTTTCCGCAAATCAGTATCACATGCAGTATACAGTATATCAACTGCGATATACTGTATACAACATGCAGTATACAGTGTGTCGCGAGTATCGGTATCGGTATCGGTATCGGTATCGATCCACACAATTGGGACACTTTTTTTTACGCTCACCAATTAATCTATTTTAATACTTAGTGGCGCTAGACTTTACATTGAAGTCTTGCTTTGGGGTGCACCAGAACAGGTGCTCGAGGTATTACAGGGTCTCGGACTTAATTGAGGTAAAAAACATGAGCGACAACCTTGTGGTATTTCTGTGCAATGAGGAAGAGTTAGCTTAATAAACCTTGATGGGTTCCAGGTTGTAACTGGGATCATTTCACTCACCAAGATATTTATGCCAAATAAGACACACATAATAAGGTGAATAGTTTCAAGACATTGTCAGTGGAACATTTAATGATTTTATAATATAATATTATATTAAGAATAATTTGTGTCCTCAATATAGGATGCATCTTGTTAAATATTGGTGCCATGTATCTAATGATCGTCATCACATCATTAATAAAACTTAAGACCCCAATGTGAGCATTGTAAGGGCCTGAACCTGGCCTAGATTGTGGTGGTCCAGTACTCCGGTTATCTATACTACTCCCTCTACAGCACCTGCATCGACATCAGTGTGAATGTCTGCATCATCTACATCCGTCTGATCCTCTACTACATCTACATCAGCGTGACCCTCTACTACATCTACATCAGCGTGACCCTCTACAACATCTACATCAGCGTGACCCTCTACTACATCTACATCAGCGGGACCCTCTACTACATCTACATCAGCATGACCCTCTACTACATCTACATCAGCGTGACCCTCTACAACATCTACATCAGCGTGACCCTCTACAACATCTACATCAGCGTGACCCTCTACAACATCTACATCAGCGTGACCCTCTACTACATCTACATCAGCGGGACCCTCTACTACATCTACATCAGCATGACCCTCTACTACATCTACATCAGCGTGACCCTCTACTACATCTACATCAGCGTGACCCTCTACTACATCTACATCAGCGTGACCCTCTACAACATCTACATCAGCGTGACCCTCTACTACATCTACATCAGCGGGACCCTCTACTACATCTACATCAGCATGACCCTCTACTACATCTACATCAGCGTGACCCTCTACAACATCTACATCAGCGTGACCCTCTACTACATCTACATCAGCGTGACCCTCTACTACATCTACATCAGCATGACCCTCTACTACATCTACATCAGCGTGACCCTCTATTACATCTACATCAGTCTGATCCTCTACAACATCTACATCAACATCAGCATGACCCTCTACTACATCTACATCAGCGTGACCTTCTACTACATCTACATCAGCGGGACCCTCTACTACATCTACATCAGCATGACCCTCTACTACATCTACATCAGCGTGACCCTCTATTACATCTACATCAGTGTGACCCTCTGCTACATCTACATCAGCGTGACGTTCTACTACATCTACATCAGCGTGACCCTCTACTACATCTACATCAGCGTGACCCTCTACAACATCCACATCAGCGTGACCCTCTACTACATCTACATCAGTGTGACCCTCTACTACATCTACATCAGCATGACCCTCTATTACATCTACATCAGCGTGACCCTCTACTACCTCTACATCAGCGTGACCCTCTACTACATCTACATCAGCGTGACCCTCTACTACATCCACATCAGCGTGACCCTCTACAACATCTACATCTGTGTGACCCTCTACTATATCCACATCAGCATGACCCTCTACTACATCTACATCAGCATGACCCTCTATTACATCTACATCAGTGTGACCCTCTACTGCATCTACATCTACATCAGCATGACCCTCTACTACATCTACATCAGCGTGACCCTCTACTACATCTACATCAGCATGACCCTCTACTACATCTACATCAGCATGACCCTCTACTACATCTACATCAGCGTGACCCTCTACTACATCTACATCAACGTAACCCTCTACTACATCTACATCAGCGTGACCCTCTACTACATCTACATCAGCGGAACCTCTACTACATCTACATCAGCGGGACCCTCTACTACATCTACATCAGTGTGACCCTCTACTACATCTATATTAGCGGGGCCCTCTACTACATCAACATCAGCGTGACCCTCTACAACATCTACATCAGCGTGACCCTCTACTACATCTACATCAGTGTGACCCTCTACTACATCCACATCAGCATGACCCTCTACTACATCTACATCAGCATGACCCTCTATTACATCTACATCAGCGTGACCCTCTACTACCTCTACATCAGCGTGACCCTCTACTACATCTACATCAGCGTGACCCTCTACTACATCCACATCAGCGTGACCCTCTACAACATCTACATCAGCGTGACCCTCTACTATATCCACATCAGCATGACCCTCTACTACATCTACATCAGAATGACCCTCTATTACATCTACATCAGTGTGACCCTCTACTACATCTACATCAGTATGACCCTCTACTACATCTACATCAGCGGGAACTTCTACTACATCTACATCAGCGGGACCCTCTACTACATCTACATCAGTTTGACCCTCTATTACATCTAAATCAGCGGGACCCTCTACTACATCTACATCAGCGTGACCCTCTACTACATCTACATCTACATCAGCGGGACCCTCTACTACATCTACATCAGCGTGACTCTCAAATACATCGACATCAGCGTGACCCTCTACAACATCTACATCTATGTCTGCGTGACCCTCTACTACATCTACATCAGCATGACTCTCCACTACATCTACATCAGTGTAACCACTCACTACATCTTCATCAACGTGATCTTCTACTACATCCAAACCACAAGAGAGCAGAGATATCTAATATAGCATGCATGAAAAATTAAAAGGACATTAATAAACTTTTTCATCAAACGAAAAGTCGAGACCTACCCAGATCATGAAAAAACATCAATTTTCCACTGATACAAGTATGGTAGACATGTATGTAAGTAATATACGCCAGAATAATGCCAGGTGTTACGGAATGTTTTAGTTATTTTCCAACACTTCAATAGTTTTGTTATTTGATATCATTCTGGTTACAAAAGGAAACATGTCTTTCAGAAGAAAACAAGGAATTCTTGCCCTACATTCCAATGGCACTTCCTCTTCCCGTTTGTGATCATACAAATTCGACACACACATATCAATCGTGTAGACCAGTTCCAGCACTTTGCGGGTGTTCCTTGGAGCGGGCAGCATCATGCCCATGAAGGGCCGTGTTATCAAGGGAAACACGTCACTCTTCTTGTATATCTTTTCCCGAATTTTACAATCTTGTATGTATGAATTGTGTTCAGAGTAAAAAAATATATCGAGGAATGGATATTTCCAGCTCTTGCCACCAGCCATGAGAGAATTTGCGTGAGACAATTTCCAGCTTATTTTCACTGAAGCGTTGACTTCATACTCTGGTGGGAGCGACTGCAGGAATGTCAACAATGCGGGTTTGTCACTCTCCCTCACAATGATGTCCACGTCGTCGTCCCAGGGAATAATGCCGTGATGGGAGTAGGAACCCAGTAAAGCTCCTCCATAGATGAAGTAGGTGATGTTAGAGGGCACACGTTCACTGAAGGTTTTAATGAGGTCCCTAAATTTCTCTCTCTCTTCCCGTGATAACCTTTCAAAAAATAGATCTTTTGCTCGTCTCTCTGTCTCCGTATAACTACTGGCTCCGTTACTTTTTCTGCTGACCCAACACCCATCCTTTCCTTGTTTTATGTTTTGGAGTCTTGGAGCATTTCTTGTATTTCCTGTAACAAGATTTCGCGTTTCATACTTTACACTATTTTTTGTGTTTTCTGGTTTTGAAGCATCTCTTGTGACATTTCTTGTCAAATCTTTTGTAACAAATCTCGCTTTATACTCTGCATTATCGTGATTATTTTCTGATGCAATTTGTGAAGTCCTTGTCAAATCCATTCTGAAATCCCTCTTCAGTTTACAATAAAAGAGGTATGCACTGCATAAGCATAGGAATGCTAAACAGATGAGAGACTTCTTGGATTGCATGGCGATGTTCTGTAAAATAAAAACAAAAAAAAACATTGACAAACTTAATTAAGTGTGATTATTAATTCTATATACACCTGTTTTCAGCATCATTAATTACGTGTGATACCAATACATGACGAGCTTGACATGAATGATATGCCTATCGCCAGCACCAGGATGAATTCATACACAAGCATGTCGGTAGGTTGTTCGGATTTGGTTATAAATATATCACAAGCAATGTTTGTTGCAATAAAACAAAGTTCATCATTTTACTAACCTCTTTAATTTGCTATCGATAAAGATCGATAAAGAAGATTAATACTTTTCGAAATTACAAACTCCTAAAACATCACACTATCAGCACCGTCAGACCACCAGAAAACAAATCAATACAAAGTGAAAACTAAACTGAAACCACAAGGAGGCTAAAGCGTGTCAATCCCATCGCGACAATGGCACCCAAAGTACAAGTAGTTACCTTCTCCAACACATAACCAGCAGAATGTTTTCGTTTTATGGTGCTGGGTGATGAGACAAAGATCTATCAATATGGCCCCAAGAGCAAGCAAGAATTCATTGAATTGACGCAAACTTCAACGGGTTTAAGGCAACCAGATGAAAAGAGAAACTTGTTGACACCTTCATTTGGCACAACAAAGGTATAATTCACGTCGAGTAAAAACTGTTAGAAGTGAGTAATTGTGACACCGTATTGAAGAGATTGCACGAGTGTGTCAAATAAACCGACAAAACCATTTCCATGTCCAACATGAATCTCTGCAGAAACCTGTGATTATGACATCCATTTTAGATGCCCTGCATTACAACAATGATACATTCAGGTAGTCTGTATACTTATCCAATATCATTGCGAATAAGTAAATTTCTTACCTTGTACGACACTGTTTGATACACACCATGAAATATTTTCATGAAATGGAACTAGGCAATGCAGGTGTTATACTAATAGAGACCGGACTACCTGCAGTGCGCTATTTTTTTAACAGCTGGTGAAGTTTTACATCAATGACGGATGACGTTAGAGACGTTTGCGTCTAGTTCACAACCTGTATAGTACGCAAACATTAATCTGATTGTGGCGTTTTAAACAGTATATAGATGGTCTTATGGTAGACACAATACATTTAATGCGCTTAGGACTATTTACAGATAACAATTTAATTAACAGATCTTTACGTTCTGTAGAATTGTAAAAGATAAGTTAATATTGTATCTTAGGCCCTTATAAAGATTACACTCTGAAAGGATATGAACTTCTGTTTCCAATCAACAAGTTCTGTGCTCTAACAGGGTAGGGGGTCTATTGCCCCAACCTGTCTCCACATGAAGGGAGAGGCTTCCACAATGTTGTCTAGTGAGATATTGTCTGAGATTCCTGGATATAATGGTTTGCAAGCAAATTTCGGGGACAAGAACATGTTTTAAAAGACGGTAGTTGCGTAACTTATTTACATGCTGAGGATTGTTCAAACTATAAAAGTACAAAAATCATTATATTTTTCTTCAAGTTTTATCAAAATCGAATATATTCTACTACTTTAAGTTTCACATTCCCAAGCCAGTAAACGCTACATAGTTTACAGGACGCCTATTATAATACGTAACGCTTGGAGATGCAAGCTGTCGAAACCAGTCAAACGAGCTGGCAGATGCTAATCAGCTAGCGCTATTAAAATTCTAGACCCGGCTAGTTTCAGACACAACCGACCAGCCTATAAATAATTAACTAATCAAGTCAGCACATCAAAACTTGCAAAATTTGACCAACATGTGGGAAGCCATTGTTATTAATTCCAAACTGGACAGGTGGGTAGCGACATGCTTTCAAACGTGGACTGGAGGTCTCGGGTATAAATGCAGGAGTATCTTGGCATTGAGTCATTCCTGCGTTTCGCCTGAGTACCCCTCTGTCTGTTTCTGAAGGTAAGTTACTTTTAATTATTACTTATTCACGGGAAACATTTCATGTTTCAATATAATGAGTAGCATAGCATCGGCAGCTAAATGTATGTATTAACAGATAACCAGTCTGTGATCGTATATGCCTAGAATACAACACACGAAAAGTAAAACTGTTTCTCTAGCTAAATACGCACAGACTCGGTAATGTCTTTTATATAGAATACTAAACGAGCTCCCGTATAATACCAATTTTATGAAACGAGTGAATAGTTCTGGTACCTGACGAGCGAAAGCGAGTCAGATACCACAACTATTCACGAGTTTCATACAATTGGTATTACACGGGAGCAAGTTTAGTATTTTATTTATTACTGGCAATTTATAACGTTTTTAGAATTATACTGTTGAGTGTGAATAGGCTGACACCTACACGATCCACGGCATAATCCAACTGAGTTTAACACAGTAATACTTCAAATACGTCAAAAGTTGAAACGTATGAATTTAATACCACCCAACGGTCCACCTTTAGAATTCAGGCGTCCGTTCCACAAAACTATCGTAGCGTTAAGGTTATCGCAACTCATATACTTTAACTAAGACCAACGACTGTCGTTGCGCTACCGTTCGATCGCCTTGTGGAACGGTACCACAAAGTTTACAATTACGTCACAATACACGTTGACGTAATTTGTGGAATTTTGTTGCAAGATCCTACGGCGAAACAATGCCATGTGACGTCAACCTAGCAACAAGGTTGCTGGGGTCATCGTGTGTGCATAAGCTCCTCTCAGTGATCTATCATCTCCACACGCAATGTCGTTGAATAAGCCAAGGGATCTTGAGAGCTTTCAATATTTGTTCGTGAAACGTGTTCCGAGAGTACATAAGCACGCGTTTTGGTATTACACAATGTGTAATACAGCTGTGTGTTTATTAAACGGGTGATCTCTTCACGGGCAAGTAATAAAAATATTTATCATATAAATGCATCCCCACTATCGTGGGGCGCCAGTAGATTGTGTGTTTCATATCGTAGAATAGTCTATAAAGATACAGGCATTTCAGTGGCAGTCTCGTATATAAGAGTTACAATATGATATCCAGCATTTCTTTTATAAACTCTTTCTAATGTTATAAGTTACTTACTTATAATTGGTAAACGTCAGAAGTTTTTGATTAGTTTTAAAATGTTTAATCATCATTATCTTGAAGTAAGTATCGGCAGTTACCTCGTTATAGTAAAGGCTACGGTTCGACGCACGCTCGGCCGTCAGCCATTGTTCATCTGCATCTGCCATCTGCCATCTGCATCAATAGCCTCTTCGTCAGCAGCTGAACCTCCATCTCACACAATGGACACACCACATGTCAGGCTGAGGACATACGCGGGACAAGAGAAATCATCAAGAAATCAACAAAGAGAGCACCGACCTCAAAACCTAAAGATCCATAATTCTCAGTAGGTGATCTAGTCCTGATGCAAAATTCCAATGTTCTCCCTGGTAGGTCCCCGAAACTGTCAGTTAAATGGGTAGGTCCCTACACCATACTTGAGACTGGTCCCAATCATACCTTCAAGCCAAACATGTCCAAACGAACAAGACGCACAAGGCACTTATCCATGCCAATCGCCTCAAAGCCCACAATGTTTGCACTCCCAACGACCGCCTTCCAGATCACACTCCCAACCATGGTCGTCATTCTCCTGGTCCCAGCACTTCTGCTGAAGCGGACACACATTCTCCTGGCCCCAGCACTTCTGCTGAAGCGTCACACATTCTCCTCTTCCCAGCACTTCTGCTGAACCGTCACACATTCTCCTCTTCCCACCACTTCTGCTGAACCGTCACACTTTCTCCTCTTCCCAGCACTTCTGCTGAACCGTCACACATTCTCCTCTTCCCAGCACTTCTGCTGAAGCGTCACACATTCTCCTCTTCTCAGCACTTCTGCTGAGCCGTCACACATTCTCCTGGTCCAAGCACTTCTGCTGAAGTACATTCTCCTGGTCCCAGCACTTCTGTTGAAGCGTCACACATTCTCCTCGTCCCAGCACCTCTGCTGAAGCGTCACACATTCTCCTGGTCCCAGCACTTCTGCTGAACCGTCACACATTCTCCTCTTCCCAGCACTTCTGCTGATGCTGACACATCCTCAGACACACAGGTGGTTCTTCCACAGCCACACATCAGTGATGCAGGCTCTGCACCATCCATTGCCCGCCAACAGGTTGACAAATTTCAAGATATTCCAACGTATCCTGTTTACAAAATTATCAGATGCAAAATGGCAAACGGTACCAAACAGTACCAAATCAAGTGGTTAGGCTACTCAGAAACGACCTGGGAGCCCGCCTCCAATCTTGATCCATCCCTGATCAAGCACTTCCATAGGTCCAGAACAATGTCTGGTAAGAAGCGCAAACACGGACATAAGTACTTCCAATGATTCATTTGCATAGGTGTTATCAAGCTACCACCATATCTTTTGTGACGTGAATTGCATGGCCATAAGATATGAGTGACCATCCCTTTGCAGTTACCAAGTGTTCTGTGTCTTATAGTGCTAGGTTTTTTAGGTGTTTGTGGCCACAATATTCTTCTCAACCAGGCCAACTCTTCTAATGGATCCCTTTTCATTTCATCAAAGGTTCATCCTGGAGCTTGATTATCCTGTGGCATATGGCTCTGTTTGCCCGCCCTACCCTCGGCACCGGCCCTCTTCAGAGACTCAACTATGGAATAGTTTTTAAGCCAACTACACAAGTCCATTTTGCAACTGAATACTGGGTCCACACCTACGAGGTCAAGCTTCGCCATGTCCCAAGCATTCCCACCATGAGTGGTGCCACCAAGGCAATGGAACGTGTGCTATACTGCACCAAATCCAAATGCACCTTAACGTCATCAAAACCAGGTATGTTTCACTGCTAAATAAAACTACGCACCAAATCATTAAACTCATCCCTGAATCTAAGGTCCCCTCATCAAGTCGCTCCAAACGAGCAGTTCTAAGTTGTGTAGGGTCCCTTCTAAAACATTGTTTGGTACAGCCACCATTGATGATGTCAACCTGCTTGCCAAACATATTAACGCCCTTACAAAACATGACATAAACCTATCCAATGTCCTAAAACAACATTCTTCCCATCTCTCTTCCTTTATGAAATTTGTAGACACTAGATTTAAGAATGCACTAAAATGTGTTAAGGCCAATCATGATGCC